TTTAATTGAATCAGCCCAAATATGATGTACAGTTTTAAAATAGAACATGGAAAGCTGGGTGTACCCATCTCTAGTCTCAGTCTCAACATTTGGGAGGCTGAAGCAGGAGAATTGCCTTGAGTTTGAGGCCAACCTGGGCTATATAGCAAACTCCAAGCTAGCCTTTGCTACTATCTAAAAACCAAAACAGAGTTAGTACATGGAAAATGAAAAATTGGTGGCAATTGAGAGTTATCAGGAGCATAATCTGTTGAGGCTCAAGAGACAGAAGCAGGACAGAAAATAGACTCCATTTGCTTATGAGACATACCCGTGTGTCTTCACTTATAAACAAGTTAATCTTTTATGTGATTTCTGAAAGACTATCAACCTATATCTCTGTTTAGCAAGATGTGAGCGGAGCTATGCCGCAGCTCTCAGTTAGATGGGATTGTGGACCTGCAGTAAAGTTCTGACATGCAACTTCAAACATTTCATGATTGTGAGCTGCCCTCTTTCTTACTGTAGGGTTGTGTGCCCCTTTGCTTGCTGGAGCTGTGAAGTGGGCCATAGCTGGTTCGGGGTGTTGGGGGATTGAGGCTTCTTATGCTGTTCTGCTAGGAGGGAGAGCTGAGGCCCTTTCTGCCTATCTATGTGGCATTTGTGAGCAGCTTGATGTATTTGACGGGAGTGTGACAGCCAAGAAACCTGTGAGCAATGCAGTGTGCTGCAGGGCTCAGCTGTGTGGAGTCATTGGACATCAGACTGAGGAGCAGCCACTAGCCAGATCTCACGAGTAAGTGTGAGCCCCTTTTCCCCAACAGAGTATGTTCTAGTGTGCAGTGTTTACCCGACTAGCTTCAGACACAGAGGAATCATTGGAGCTGCTTTACCTCTTTCACTCAAGTGTGCTGGTCTGCAAGTTTCCCCAACAAATACTGTATTGTAGTATATTGCTGAGAGAATATATTTCCTAAAACAAGCTCTAAATCATAAGTTTTCTATTTTTGTAATGGAGCCCACGTTAAGAATTAATAGGTAAGTTTGGTGTGGTTGTGCAGGCCTTTAGTCTCAGCACTTGGAAGGCACAGGCAGGTGGATCTCTCTGAGTTCAAGGCCAGCCTAGCCTACTTAGTGAGTTCCAGGTTAGCTGGGGCTACAGGGAGACCCTGTCTCAAAAAAAAAAAAAAAGAATTAATAGGTAATATGTTAACTAGGTGATAGATAGTATGGTCAGTAGGTAATACATTTACTTTGTTCACAAAGTATAAAACAGTATTTTTAGCAACCTCGTTCTGCCCTGTCCCCTCTACTCTTTTGCCTCAATTCCTGATTGTAGTAGTAGTTTGTCTCACAACCTATATGATTTTGTATATAAATACCAGCTGGTAGTGCACCTTATTTTGGGACCTTTCAATATGTACGTCTCTGTTTATTGAGACATCCTTCTGTTTCAGAGGTATCGGTTATTCCTAAATTCGTTTGTAATGTGTGCCAGAGTACATAAAATTTTGTCTTGTTTTAGAATGTGAGATCATTTATTATCTCTTAGAATAATGTACAGTTAGACCTCCAAACACATCTGTTTACCTATGTGTCATGTAATAAAGTACGTGTTGAACTTTTGACACCACTTATATAAAATATAGAGATTAGGTGATAGAGCTAAAATGATGACTTTTGTTTTATGATGTGCTTTTGTTTTAAGCAGGTCATATTTTTAATTTTATCTTTATTGGCATATATTAATTATATGAAATAAAGGATTACATTGTGAATTTTCATCCACGAATATAACGTACTTTGATCTCATTCACCTGAATTGTCCTCTTACTCCCTTCCCCTTTCTCTGGCCCCTTTTAAAAAACTTTCCCTAATAGGAACCTCTTTGTATTTGCTGTCACATTGTTTCAGTGTGTGGCTGTGCTTAGCTTGTCTCACTGTCCTCCATGGACGGGCATTTGCACTTTCATCTTTTTGTTTCAATGAGATAATTCACATACCATAAAATCCATCTTTCTGAAGTTCAGTGTTCGTTGGCTCTTTTTGTTTTGCTTTGTTCTGGTCTTTTTTTTTTTTCAAAGACAGGGTCTCCCTGTAGCCCCAGCTGGCCTGGAACTCACCATGTAGACCAGGCTGGCTTGGAACTCATGCCTGCTTCTGCCTCCTGCTGGTATTAAAGATGTGCACCATCATGCCCAGCAGCAGTTCACTGACTTCTAATGTTCCCAAGCTTTTTGTTCTACAAATAATGTTGTAATGAGTAATCTCATGTGTACATTTTTCTAAATCACAGCACAAATGCATTTGTTGGGTACATCCTCAGAAGCAGGATTCTGGGTCAAAGGGTTAAAAGTATTTGAATTTTAGGAGGAATTGTCAGTTGCTCTCTCTAGGTATTTCATCCTTTTGGCATTCTTGACCACAAATTATGAGAAGACCTGTTTAAAGTCTTAATTTTATAGCGTATCAGAACTTCAAAGTATGATGTTCTTGAATTAAGTTTAACTCAATATTGATTTCACTAATGGGAATATGACTAAGACATTTAAATTTCACAAATACTATTATTTATAATTGGTCTTGTTGAGTACTGGTAAATTCAAAGTGGTCAGTGTTGATATAGAGAGAATTCATTTGTGGGCATGAGCTAGGGATTTCCTGACTCGGTTATCACTGGTCATGTGGACACTGTGAAGCCCTTGGCATTATAGTGAAAAATTTGGTAGAGGAAGGCCATTGCTGTGCTTCCTTTTTTATAATAGGGGTGTTCTTGAAGAATTTCATCTTTGAAGACTCAGTTATTAACACTTGCTGTTCTTCGGAGAACTGGAATTTGGTTCTCAGCATCAACACAGGGCAGTTCACAACTACCTATAACTCTAGCTCCAGGGAATCCAACACCCTCTTCTGGCCTCTGTGGCCACACATACATGGTTACACCCACATACCCACATTCACACATAAACATATGTAAACTATAAAATAAATCTTTAAGAAAAGAATTTCATCTTTTGATATAGTCTTTCAAGTATAATGTTTTGTACCTGTCTGATGGTTTGTACCTCAACTGAACTGAGAATTGTTTTCACAGTAATTTAGATGAAGGATTAATTATGAACAGTTCAGCCTCCGTTGGTGTTTACTGACCTATGATATAGATCTCTTGATCTTTAACCAGACTTTGGTGGAGTACGGAATTCCTCTCAGAAACATACACCTTATCCACAGATTAGCTTTAATAATAGACTCTCATGAAGAGAATTGAAGGTGGTATTTGTAAGGTAGAACTTGTGAATTATTCAGTGCTTAATTTTTGGTGGCATTTATAAATATTATAATGCTTTGTGTTTATAAGTAGTACTCAAGGCTAGTAAAAAGATCATAGGGAAATGCAGGCTTTCCTGTGCTTCAAGTCAAAGTAGAAGTGTAGATTTGGAGTGAAGTAGTGTGCTGTACATGAATGTGAATAAGCGTGTGTTCATGGACAAGTCAGTGGTTCTTTTTATGTCTGTACTACTGAAGTACAATAAACCATTAGGCAACCTTTCATTAACGAAACTCTGATTTGAACAGTTGTTTGTTAGTATCACATAAGGGAATGTTGTTTATACTTTACCTAGCAAGTCACTCACCATTATGGAAGAGAAAATAACCACTAAAACAAAAGACTTTAAATAAAGTAGACTAAGTAGACTAGAATTATGCATAAAGTAGATTATACTATTCAGATTCATGTGGATTTACTGGTTGTTATATTTCTGTTACTCTTTCATTGTTCATTTTGGAGTGTAATTTAAAAGGTTTAGAAGATTCGGGTTCTACCCCAAAGGATGCTTGCTCTGAACTATGGTTATGGTAGGCTTGGGCGTGAAGGCAGCTCCCTTTGGTGAAAGAGGATAATACTCGGGGCTGTGTCTGGTTCAATGGGTGGAGCACTGTATAAAGACAGTGACTATTGGGGCAGGTGAGGAATAAAGTGTGGTTTGTGTTTAGCAGATTGTTCTGTATTGGGTAGGCCTCCATTGGCCCAGGGCAGGGCACATGTGTACTGTTCTTACAGTGTTTCTTTGCTGCTAACAGTAGTTCTGATGGATGCCTTTCCCCCCCCGTTTTATTTGAAAACCACTTGTTTCTGCCATTTTTCTTCTGAATAGTTTGTATATACATGCTTTTTTTGTATGTATATATACTCACACATATGTGCTATGTATGTGCTACATAACACACAGACTGTGTATCTATACAATACAGGGTTAGGCATTCTTTATGAAAAAGCAAACAAAATACAACCAACCAACCAACCAAACAAACAAACAAACACAATAACCTCCATTTGATTCCCTGTAAGATTCCATAAACTCTAAGGCCCCATTGCCATTACTTGTTCACATATTAAGTACTAGTTAAAGACCTGCTTTTGTGCAATAGCCTCAGATGATGGCAGGTGGATGCTGACAAAAAGATGCTGCATAGAAACTGAAAAGGAAGCAAGGAGGCCTAACAGGAAATTTAGTAGTTTTTTAGAGATGGAAGACCACTTTAAACAAAACACTCCTGTAGGTGGGCATGATCAAATAAGTGTTTACAGGTAGAGGAGACATTCCAGCCATGTCAGAGGAGATGCTTGTGCGGAGATACTTGTGCCTCATGTAGTATTTCCAGGGATGGTATCACAGAAGGCCTAACTGTGTCCAGACTGTGCAGAGAGGAAGGCTTGTGCTAGAAAACTGTAGTGGCTAACTCAAAACATCACCCAGGTAATGATGCAAGGATGCATGAGGAATGAATCAAATTGTCTTGTGAAATGTGACAGTGAGTGCAATCATTTTTTTATGAATACTTCAGACATCTTGTAATCTAAAATGTATGTAACTTAATTGGTATATTTTATAATTGAATTTACTTTCTGTCTTAGAAAACATACATTCAAGTTGGCTAAGATTTTTTATGTTTTATAGGAAAAATAATGTGTTGGGCTATTTCAAATTCAGTAATATGTAATTCTTATCTTTAACCAGAAACTAAGGCTTCTTGAGGAGCTTGAAGATACGTGGCTTCCTTATCTGACCCCCAAAGATGATGAGTTCTATCAGCAGGTAAGGTGTTTGAGTTGCTTTTGGTTTTTGTTTACCAGTTTGTCATGATGTGATGTGTTGTGGTCCACCATATTTTGTTAGTGAAACTACTAGGTGCAGAAGCTTGATTCCAGGTGCCCTACCTACAGACAAGAATCCCCTCATGGTCTGGTTTCTCTGTGAATGAGTGCCTAGGCATAACGCAGCGTTTACTTCCCCAACACGCATGGTCCCTCCCACCTTTGCACCTTTCTGCTCATGCTGTTTTTTTTTTTTTTTTTTTTTTTCCTACATTGGTCTTTTTGAGACACGGTCTCCCTGTAGCCCCAGCTGTCCTGCAACTTACTATGTAGACCAGGTTGGCCTTAAACTCACAGAGATCCTCCTGCCTCTGCCTCCCAAGTGTGCCACCATGCCCAGCTAGAGAAGATTTTTAAACAAGATAAAGTAACCAAAACCCACTAGTCTGCATATATGACACACATCAAGGTAGATTCACTATTTTAATCTATCACACACAGTCCATAATTTTAAACAGGCCAGACCTACATAGAATAAGCTGCTTCTCCTATCCTGTTGCTGTGTGGCTGATTCTATAGGAGTTCACTTAAGCATGGGCTCCTCTGAGGGTGCCCGGCCTTACTTGACCTCCAGGCCAAGGTGAGCTTCTTGCACCCTATAAATAAGTGTGCTGTATGGCCTGCCTGTCTTACTCTCTTGGGATTCTGCAACTCTGACTCCGAATTCCTTAGCACTCTTTCCCTTAGAAATGACAAAAAAAACCTGAGTCAAAATCACTCATAAAGAAAAGGGAGGGAGGGTTTATTGATATTATTTAGAAATCTAGAAGCATGTGGGTGAATCCAGAGATGGTTACTGATCCCTTCTTTTCTCAGTTTTGTGGCCTGGCATTCCTGTGTATGAGCTCATGCTGAGTAGGTGCTCATCTGATAGCCTGGTAGGACTCGGACAGCCCAGGGGATATGTGGTCAACAACCTCTGGGATTACAGAAGAAGCTAGTGAGCTCTTTTTTCCTGGTTCCATCAGACTCCCTAGGAAGTGGTCACAATGGTCTGGTTAGAATCATTGTTTTTGCCTGGACTAGTTCATGTGCCTCCCTCAGAGTGGGGTTCAGTGGCATTCCTACTCAACCCATATGGATGGTGAGGGTCAGAGATAGATGATACCCCCAAAGGAAAAAAAAAATTAGAGTTCTGGTTCCAAAGAAGAAGAGAGAGAAATGGTAGATAAGCAAAAAAGTCAACGTTTCACCCATGTTTTTTGCTACTAGAATGTATACTCTTGAAGTATGGAAATGAGGCCATATTACTAGCAATAGCACCTGCTTTTACACAGTAAACCTTAACCACTAAGGCAGGGAGGATCGAAGGTGTTCACATAGAGCTGCAGCCCAGGTCTCCCTGTATGGTCTTTCTCTCATCTGTCTTCCCATTAGCTCTTCACTGTCTTTTACTTACCAGTTCTCTTACAGGTCTGTATGGTTTCCCTCTCTGCCTCTTTAAAAAGGGGGGATTTCCCTGAAATCATGCCAACCCCTTGCTTCACTGCCTCATCCCCTCACTCTCTCAAATTAACCAGACAGCCTCCTATGTGAGGCCTTCTTGTTCCAGCCTCTGCCAACATGATGTTTTCCTTGTGGAGCCCCTGTACTCCCATGAGTGTTCACAGTTCTTGGGCTTCCTCCATAGAAAACTTGCTACACATCACCGGCCAGGAGACTTGCCTCTGCTCCCTCTGCTGTACTTTATCTCTACCGTCCATCTGATTTCAATGGTATTTATTTATTTATTTTTATTTTTGTGATGCTGGAAATTGGGATGGATCAAGCCTTGGACATGCCAGGCAAGTGCTCTACCAAGTGAGGTATTGCCCCAGTCAGTCCCATTACAGCTTTTTAAAAACATCCTTCTTTTTCTTCAGTGCCTAGAGCCTATCAGGTGTTTAGTTTGCTTGAATGAATGAATCCTTGCATTAGTATTTATTTATTTTTGAGACAGGGTCTCATGGTATATCTCAGGCTTTTTAAAAGATTTATTTATTTGTATGCATGTGTGCATGAGTATCCATGGAGTTTAGAAGAGAACATTGGATCCCTTGGAGCTATGAGTGGTTGTGAATCTTCCAATGTGGGTGCTAGGAACTAAACTCTTAACTGCTCTTAACTGCTGAGCCATCTCTCCAGTCTAGGGTGGTTTTGAACTCACAATCTTCCTGGCTCAGCCTACTCAGGACTGGGATAACTGGTGTGTGTCATGGTGCCTGTCCAGTTACTTTTTAAAAGTCAATTTTATAATGAATTTAGTGTTATTTGAGTTTTGTTTTTACCCTTATCACAACCTCCCTTGGGAGGTGGCATCTTAGAATAGAGGAATGAATACAGAAATGCAGTGTCCATTAGCAGCTTCTTATTTGAGCTTATCTAATTTGCCAAAAGTATCTGCAGTGAACATGGAGTTTTTATTTTATTTTATTTTATTTTATTTTTTGCAATGAGAAAAAATGTAATTTAAAAAGAAACCTTTTAAAGTAGGCAAAACCACAAAAGCAGTCAGCTCTGAAATGCTTGCTGATATTCCCACTGACATATGCCTTCTGGTACTTTGTTATATACCAGCTACTTCAGCTTTTGTGTTGTACAAGCAGTACAGGACGAACCAAATAGAAAAGGTTATCAGCCTGCTGTGCTCTGACCAGCCACACACACTGGGGACAAATGGAAACTCAGATGCAAACAGAACAATGCCTCTAGGCTCCTTACTTTTCTGTGGCTCACAATAAAATTTAGATACCAGTATCTAATCGTGTTAAATACGCCTGATAACAAGGCTTAGTGCTTCTGTAAAACCTGTGCTGTTGTATATACTTATAGCCCCAGCTACTTGAGTGGTTGGGCCTGGAGGATTGCTTGAGCCCAGGAGTTCAGAGCCTGAGGAACAGAACCAGACTCTCATCAAACAAAACAAAAACCAAAGCAGAACAGAACCAGAACAAATCAAACAACAGTTTAAAAAAAAATTGAAATAAACTTACTCGCTTAAGAGATGCACTGAATTAGATAAGAGCTCCCAAATACTTTCGACATTTTTGACCTTTGGAACAGAGTATGTTGCTAAGAGAACCAAGGACTCTTTTAGCTAAGAAGCTGGCTACTTTTCTTTGGGGTCTTTTTACCCTAACTAGAACCAGAACAAATCAAACAACAGTTTAAAAAAAAATTGAAATAAACTTACTCGCTTAAGAGATGCACTGAATTAGATAAGAGCTCCCAAATACTTTCGACATTTTTGACCTTTGGAACAGAGTATGTTGCTAAGAGAACCAAGGACTCTTTTAGCTAAGAAGCTGGCTACTTTTCTTTGGGGTCTTTTTACCCTAACTACTTCCTACATTCTATTCTTTTTATTCTTATCACACCATCCTCTGAAGAGGTTACACAAATTGCCAATAGGGAATAGCGATGCAGACCATTCTGTCTTCTTCCATGCTGAACAGGGACACAGGGTGAGGCAATTAGAGTACCCCTTCATTGGTCTATATACTAAGAAGCCCCAGGGCATTTCGACTTTCAGCCAAGAAACTGGCTACTACTCTTTGGGGTCTGTTTACACTGCCTAGCCAATTCCTACCTCCTCACCATCCTCTGAAGAGGTTACCCAAATTGCTGATAGGGAATCGGGACGCAGACCACTCTGGCTTCTTCCATGCTGAACAGGGATGCAGGGTAAGGCAACCGAGGTACCCCTTCAGTGGGTCTATCTAAAAGACTCCCAAATTGCATAACTCTTATCACCACGTGGAGGCAGGATCCTGGCACTCTCAGGCAGTCCCCTGAGTTTTCAGGCCCTATGCCAGAGGCTCCTACCTCCTATTCTTATCACACCATCCTCTGAAGAGGTTACCCAGCTTGCACATAGGGAATCAGGACACAGACTGCTCTGGCTTCCATGCTGAACAGGGATGCAGGGTGGGGCAGCTGGGGTACCCCTTCAGTGGGTCTATCTAAAAGTCTCCCAAATTGTATAACTCTTATCGGTAGGGGGAAAAGAAAGTCCTTGATTGGTGAATAGGAGATGTGAAGGAGAAGTAAAGGCAAGAGTAGTTAGCATCACAAGTTCTTGACAGGGAACTAGAAAAAAGAACAGGGCAAATTTCAAATGTTCATATGAGAGTCCATTGGAATTTCTTGACGAGAGCTTCCAAAAGCATCCCTCTATTGGGTTCTTCCTCATTTTTCTTTTGTCTTCCAAGGCTGGACTCTAGAGTGATGGATTCAGGATTTGTTTTCAGGTATTTTGATAGTTGCTGGAGTGGTTAGAATCAGTGTCGGTTCCATCTCAAAGGCTTCTAGATGGGGTGGAAAACAAATTTATCCATCTCTTTAGAACAATAGCGGGTTGTCTCCCTTAGCTATGGGTAGGGACTACAGTATTTCAGAACAAGATTTGAAGTCTTACATCTGAGCAGCACTTTCTGGTTAGTAACAAAATCATCAATGAGAAATAATTGTCTACCTCTTCTGGGGTCGGGGGGACATTAGAGCAGCAAAAAGCCCCATAATAAAAAAAAAGAAAAGAAGAAGAAGAAAGAGTACTTGAAGTTATTAGAAAAAAATGATGGGGAGATATGGGAGGAGTTGGAGAGGAGGGAGTGGGCATGGATTTGATCAAAACACCTTATATGCATGTATGAAATTCTCACTAAATTATTTTTAAAAATTCTAAATCCATTTAAATGGGGAAAAAAAGAGATGCACTGAAAATACTCACTAGTACATTTTACTTGTATACATCTATGACTCCCTCTGTGCCATACATGTACCCTCATGCATTGATGTGTCTACCTACCTTTCTACTCTTGACCCCCCTTTTCTCCTTCTCTCCTAGCATCCTTTCCAGTCCCCTTAAAGTGTTTCTTAATTTCTTTCTGTCCCTGCTCCTTTTCCCCTTCTCCAGCGACTTGTATTCTGTTCTGTCCTCTCTAATGTCCTGATTCTAATGGA